TCCTGGATTATTCACAGGTTTTTTAGCAGTTGTTAGGGAAGCAGCAGTCACATGAAAGCAAAGCCACAGAATATTCTGAAATATATAGTGTACCTTCAGTAACATAAATATTTTAAGACAGGAAAATCAAATCTGCATATCTACTTCTTTGTAAATGTATCTGTTGGTACTTTAAGCATTTCCCTTTTGGGTTTTGATTATAGGAAAACCTCTTTCAGTGCTATTTTTTAAAGTACTGCATGCTCAGCTTTTCACAGAGATATTTCTTATAGATAGATCTTTTACAGATGAAAGGTGCTTTTGCAGATGAAAGTTTCCCTCTCAGCTAAATAAATGATAGAGTAATTGTTAATGGCATGTTTCTTTAAGACATGGTTTGCCAGTTATGAAGGAATTAAAGTTCCAGTCTAAAAAGATAGAACCTTATGGACTTATCTTAAAGCAGTACAGATTCTATAGAGGTCTTTAAATAAATGACAAGCAGGTAGCATTCCTGACGTGTCTTTTGTATTAAAGTGGAGGACAAAAACACTTATTTTGTATTAGGTACCACTTTCTATAAAAGTAGTGAAGATGTGCAAGGACCTATAGTTTCAAATGGGATTTTCTTCACATACTGTCAGCAGATTTAATGTATGTAAAACAGACAGTGAACTTCAGAGATCACATTCAACATTAAAAAAGGGAATGTTTTATAAACAAGAGTGGGAAAATTAAGGCTAAAGGAGGCATCTGCAGTGTTGCATAATGCCCTAAGTTAAAATACAGATACTGTGTAGGAAGTTGCTTTCTCTCAATAAACCATTTGCTAAGTAAACACATGCAACCAAAACAAGCAAACAAACAAAAACGCTCACATTCACAATAATCATTGGAGGCACAAGACTGGAGAAGACATGTGCTTTATGTTTAGTGGGAACATACTTTGCTGGCCTTCTGTGAGTCCCTGAGACAGTGTTTTGTCAGCTCAGTGTACTTGTGTGGTGGTGAGTGCTCAAGTGCTTTTTCCCAGCTATTCCAAAATCTTGGAACAGTCAACAGGCAGCCACAGGAGGCCTCAAAAATGAGACCACTCCAGCCAGGGGAGGTCTAACAGATTTTAGCAGCTGAACCATCTCCTGAATTATGAAACTCTACAGCTGGCTTTAAGCCACATTACCCTGGCTATGCCTGGCACCAGTGACTGTATCCATCTGCTCAGAGAGGGAGCACAGTATCCAAGCCACTCCGAGGAACATTTCCACAATACTGGGATAACAACTTTGAAATCTTAACAGTTATACTAAACACAGAGGGACCAAAATCTGTACAGTTTAGTATGACAAGGCTATTACCCAACTTGTTGTTACCTAATAGGATATTAATCAGAAGAGTTTTATCTGTCATGTACCAACAGGTAAATCCAGGTAATCAGACTGACTGCCTGAACAGACAGAAGAAATAGCTGCTTGGCAAATGCACTTGAATAGTCCCTGTCGTACTATAAGGGAAGAAAGAAGTTCCAGGGACATGATCCAGAGATACTTTAGGCTGCGAAAATATTCTCACAGATCTCTAGAGTAATTTGGACTGGCATCTAAATGCATATAAAACATTTGTGAAGCCAAGGACAGTTTTACAAACTGAAAATCTGCTATCAGTCCTATTCTGCCTGCATATGTTGGCAACCTTGTGAGGTAGTTTTCTTGTTATCCTATCTAGATTATCAGGGTTAAATCTCTCCTGAAAGTAACTCTGATTGCCCTACCATAGCCAGTTTAGAAAGATCACCTTTTGCAGCTTGTTGAAAAACTCTGCATCCTTGCTACAAAGCATGTTTAGCATGAGGTGTCTAATTACCCAGAAATGCTAATCTATGTGTTTGTAAATGCATTTTATCTATACCCCTGCCTACCTTAAGGGACTTAACTTTCTGACATTGCTACCAAGAATATCATGTGTGAGAAAAAGGCTCCAGCCTTAGACCATCTTTCTGGATTATTCCTTATTGTGATTTCACCCCAGCTGGCAACTATGTACCAGCAAAATGAGTAAAACCTGATGCTGGTGTCCTTCATTGGGGTCCTCTAAATAAAGAGGAGCCATGAGCAGATACAGAGGTAGCACAACTTCAATTGAACACTGCTACACTGTCCTCAGGAGTCCTGAGTGATTCAAATGCATCATCTCCTAAATGTATGCCACTGCCAAAGGACCTAAGGGAAATGTTTGCTGTCTAGATTGTCGTCTTTACACTGATCTCACCTGAGCTGGAACAAATAAAAGGGTTGTAACCTGTTCTATGATAGGTTAATGCAGCCATCATCTCTTAACAAAATAAATCAAATCATATTAAATCATTGTAATTAAAGAATAAGTATTTTAATGAGCCATTCAGAACAACAATAATATGTACCTGATCACATTTTTAGACTGCCCATTTAACATAGAGACGTGTTAGCACAGGGAAATTATACATTTCTGCTTAGTTAGAACTATATAATTTTCATAGTTGAAATGGAAAGACCTGCTTGTTAAAAGCTCCTTAGTCCTTGATCCCAATTAACCAGTGCACTACAGTAGAAGAACTGCAGCTGTGGTATTCATTTTGCTCTGTTATTGAGAATCGCTCTTTCCAGTATTTTGTGAAACCATTCCGTAATATAGCTTATTGCTTCTATGGCCATCCGTTCTTCAAACCTCTGCCTGTGTTTTCAAAGAACATGCTTTTTGCTCTTTATCATTAGCTGGAGAGAAGCATGTTGGGTCAGTCAGTTCCCAAGGGGCACAAAGGCAAAAGCGAGGTGTTTGGGAAAATTAAGGTTAAAGCAAAATAATCATATCTGTTGACTTTAGTGTTTGCAAGGAGGAGACAGCAGCCCCTGTTCTGTCCAAGTACCACAAGCACTTGTGTCCTTCCCTGGATTTGGTCCAAAAGATTGGTCTAATGCCATCTAGAAAAGCTGGACCAGAGTCACCTGTCATAAATCTTGTCATATCATAAATCAGCATCCTATCCCTCTCTTTTGTTATACGTGTCAGTCTTACTGACTTAGAAATCAGCTTCATAGTATCATTATTCTTATGCCAGCACAGTTTTATAGTAGAGATTTACATATAGATTTGCTTTCCTCAAAATACATTTGTTCAAAGTTATGGGAGGCATGTCTGTTATAGGAGTGCTGCATGTAAGAGTCAGTAGAGGTTGAAATACCTGGATTTGCACATTAGTAGCTTCACCACATTTTCACAACCTGGTTGTCTGACATCCTTGTACTTCATTGTCACAGTCATTGATTCCTTTGTTATTGCAGAACAAAGGAAGATAAATATGTTGCTATGACAACAATGAAGCATCTTAATAATTAACAGACCAATTAGCTGTCTTGGTGAAATGCTGTGACTCAGAACAGATAGTAGGCACTATGTAATTAGGACTCTGGCTTACCAGAGCAAAAGTGCTGCTAGTTCCCAGAGGGAACAGCCATACAGCCACACTGTTTTACTTAGTGACATCTCCCAACAATGACTGCATTCATTAGAGGATCTGAAGTACATAAAGTTTGAAATTTTGAAAGAAGGGTGGTACCTTAGTCATCATAGATTTGAGGTCTTATATATTACTTTTACAAGCATCAACCCAGATCTTCATAAATACAAGAGAAGTTGAAGAAAACAGATTTTGTCATGTACCTGTTTTCACTCAAACTGGAAAGGTCATACTATCAGCTTCACCATTTCCCCTGCGTAGGCAGTTTTATCCACTGCTTATGTACAAGGGTTTGAACATCCAACTCAAATCAATCTATGATTATCTGGGCACCTCAGTACTATGGTTGCAGGTGTGAGGAGCACTCAGGAAGTTTTCCTTGCACAGGTTTCCTTAGAATGGATAGAAGCAGGAATAACAGATCTTCCTGGACTTCATTATGAGTCAGAGATACTAGAAGGATGAAGCCTAAATTGCTGCCTGCCCAAATGATTATTGCACCGTATTTTGTGTGGAGTTCAGTCCCTTCCTTGTGTTTGGCACACCTTTGAGGTTAGACTTCTTGGAGGACAAAGGCACAAGGACAGCTGTGAAACTCTGTGAGGACTGTATTGTACTTTTCTGAGTAGTTGGGGCCTTTCCATTCCTCACTGCACTCCAGCATGGGCATCATATATTCTAAATTCAGGGAGTTTTAACATATAAGAGAAAAGAAATTCTTTCTACCTGTCTGTAAAGAAAAAAAGAGACAGAATATGTTACAAGAGAGGTGTGTCGTTCATCCAAATTTGAGATCAAAACACCTGGATTTTTTGGAGCTGCTTCAAATCTAAACTACAAAGTTCTCCCTGCCCTGTTCTTGTGTTGCACTAGGAGTGCTCCCTGCACCTAGCAGTACTGAAACAGCTGAAAGGGGAAACATTCTTGTCTATTATTTAATAGCTGCAGATTACCCTCTTGTATCTCTGCTCAGCTGAACTGCGGTAGTTTTGTGCTTCATGCCTTCTGCAACCACTTCACTTACAGAAAAAAATACAAATAATATCTATGAAATGAGTCCTGGTTGCTTTCAAATGGACAATTAGCATTTCTGATTTAAAGAAAGAAACACACAGCTGTGGCACCTCTTGTTTTCAGAACACAACACCACAGGGAAACCAAGCAATAAGGCAAGGCTACATTTGGCATTAATAAGCAATTGATTGCAAAAAGCAGAAGAAATTTTGACAATCAGATTGTTCTTTAATGGCAACTAAGTGTGTTCACAGGAGGAGGTAGTAAGCTTTAGCAGTACAGATTGTTGAGGTAGTGAAGTACCAAGGAAATGTGAAAATGTCCAAAAAATAAACTGGAGAGTAGAGTCATAATGGCATCTGGTGATGATATATGCTATGAAGCTTTTTGACCAGTGTTTTTATGCTATTGTCAGGCTGCATGGAATGCCAGGGGTTTGATTTCACTCTTAGCAGGAACAGCATAAATTTCCATTGATGTTCATAAGCCAAGATAAGCCCATAAATACATATGCTTATACAACACTGTATTTGGAATTACAAGGATTTAAACATATTGTTTCTTGCCAGTAGTACAGGAATCAGCTTTCTAATGCACTGCACAGCAGAGCAGGAGAACAGGAGAAACACTTATCACAGAATAATGTTGACCAAAGCTTTGAAAAGTCTTGCAGTCAGAACAAAATGTTCCCAGTATGATATGGAGAAGGCAGCCAGCACCTCAGAGTAGCAAATAGCAAACAGGTGTATGTAAAATGCTGTAGGATGGCAAAGTATTATGCTGAAAACCTCCAGATGTATCTCTGCATGTCCCTCTCAGGTGCCTTTCACGGTCACCAGTGTGAAGCTTGGTAAATATTTAATTGGAAAACCACCATGGAATGCCTCCAAAAACCGGAGCGTACTGATGTCACTTCTGCAAGTGCTTTTTATTTCTGTCAGATTGTACTTTACTCAGGCCCTAGCGCAGCAGGATCAAGCAATGTTGGAACTGTCAACTTGCTCTGTGAAAGAACATGAATTCGGTTTCAACTGCATAGTCTGGAAAGCCAGGTTATAAATTTATGTATTTCCAGGACACTGGGTGTCTCTCGGGCCAAGAAATTAATTCTGGATCATCATTTCTCCTCAAAGATGCTTTAACACTTGCAAAACATGGCGGGG